TAATTAAGGAATATACCTTAAAACTATAGTAGGATCCCTAATATGATTTAAGGTAGATTCCTGAATTAAGGGGTTTTGGAGCCTCTGGGTCACGAACCGAAAAAGCATCCAAAGCGTAAACTTGTGCTTCGGACCCCAAGGGTCCATGTACCCAAATAGTATATACTTTGGCCTGAAAGTAGTCCCTATGTAAGTACTTTCTTTGTGGCCAAAGTATATACTATTTGGGTACATGGACCCTTATGGGGAATCTCCTTGCTTTTTTGGCTTAGTGGCTTACTTAGAGGGAGGATGCGGAAGCCTGAGAAATTATCGTACTTCCTTGGATTCTCACCAAACCCTTTAACCCCAAGCTCGATCCAGTAGACCCTGAACCTTTAACCCTCAAACCCTATTGTAGAACTAACCCCAAAAAGGGTCCAAAGGACCGAGTAATTAAGCACGGCGGTCTGGGACAGGAGGTATGTAAGTTATGTAGGTCACTATGTTGGAGAGAATATGATTATTAGGTACTCGGACCCTAAACCCTAAACCCCCTAAAGCCCTAAACCCTAAAACCCTAAACCCCGTCAACCCCCAAAAGCCCTAAACCCCCTAAACCCCAAAAACCGCTTTCAGAGGAGAGCAGAGGCCGGATCAGGACTTGGTCCTCTCATCTCTGCTCACGCTGCAGCGCGAGAAGACGGAGCTGAACAAGGCGCGGCCTTTTGTCTTGGGAAGGGGGGAGGGGGGTTAGAGTTTAGGGTTTGAGGGATTACAGGCTTTAGGGTTTTAGGTTTTAGGGTTTACGGTTTAGTTAGGGTTTGGGTTGGGGGGGAGGGTGGATCGGGGGGGAGGGGGGCGGCCTTTTGTTGTTGGTTTTTGATTCTTGGTTTCCTGTTTCATCAGAGTTTATCTTAACACAGGTTTAGACGGTCGTCGTGGGCTTAAAGCTTTTTAGGGTTTTCGGTGTCATGGTAAGCAGTTTAGGATTTAGAGTTTAGGGTTTGGAGTTTTGATTTAGGGTTTGGGGTTTAGGGTTTAGGGCTTGGGGTTTTCTGGATTGTACTACTTCTTGCTGGATACCCTATCGCACGGTTCCAAACCGGGACTAGATTTATAGTCAAGCCTAAGTCCCAAAGCCCTGAACCCTAAACCGTAAACCCTAAACCGCAAGAAGATGAAGGGTCTAGGTAGGGTCCAGGGTTTGGGCTCTTGGCGCCACTCGGGTTGAGCACATGTTGGGCCTAGGTTTGGATAACGTTTGGACGAGGTCGATGCTTGAATTAACATAATAGGTAAAGCCTGCTTACAAATGACTGTTAAGACTATGGCCTGGGTGTTCAGGCCTTCCAAACTCAACCCGCGTGGCTTCAAGGTAGAGCGTGAAAAACTGCACGTAGGACTGGCTCTTCATTGCCGCTATTTTCATATTATGAGCCCACGGGTTAATTGGGTCTGAGGGGCTTATGGCGCGGAGTGGCCTTTGGCTGAACCAAAACTAAACCCGAATCTCTTGCCCCTACAAGCTAAACCCTACCTTAACCCCAAATAACCTTCCGTTTTAGGGGACATGTACTGTACAAAGGAAATCATTACAGGGAACCCTAACGACGGTTTTATAGGGTCCAGGTCTGGGACAGTTTCAGGTGGGTAGTTTCCCCCATATACCCCTTATATACCACTTCTATGAACCTTAGTGCCCTTCTACACCCCTTTTAGAAGCCTTACATAAGGTACCCCCCCCTGGTAATTACCCTCCTGAAACTGTCCTTAACCAGGTGCTCCTTAAGCCCTACGCCGTGAATTTATGCTCAAAGTTTAGCAGCGGTTTCTGCAGGTGCGAGGGGTTTGGGCCAACATGACCACGCAGCTCTTTCTCGCTTCAGTTCTTGTAACCAAGAGGGTTCATATATACTGCTATCATGGAACTAGGTCCCCCCCCAAAGGGTTCATATATACTACTTTCATGGAACTAGGTCCCCCCCCCCCCCAACCAAAACCATTATAACTATGGACTTTTCCGGCCCGGTTCCCTAGTGGTAGTGCATATGGACCCTGAGTAAGGCTATTGCATCGCCTTTCATGGTTGTTATGTGTTTTGCCCAGGACAGTACTCGTTAGGGTATTGCGAAGGATGGCTTGCACGCAAACTCGCGACAGACTCCCTAAACCCCAGAACCAGAAGCACAGACATAACTGTACAAAACCCAAAACCGGAAACCCTAAAACCCTAAACCCTAAACCCACAGCGCCTTAGCCATCCCGAGCTTGCAGTTCGGTGATTTCCGGGTTTAGGCTTCGGTAATTAGCTGGCAGGCGGTTCCAAAGCGACGCCTTGCCATGGCTCGTAGCCTCGCAGATGCTCATGCAGATGAGTCGGGGGAAGATGCCCCGGCTTTGTCATCTCGGAAGGTCGGCGCCCATGGTATTTCAGGGTTCTATAAGGTTTTAGGGTTTAGGATTTAGGATTTAGGGTTTAGGGTTTAGGGTTCAGCGCCCATGGTCTTTCAGGTTAAAAAAGAGGGCTCTCTGGGAGTTCTAGAGGTGTTCTATAAAGGTTTGAGAATGCAAGGCTCTAAGGTGCCAGGTTTTATACTTGACTTTGCAGTTTTTAGGGTTTATAGGGTTTATAGGGTTTACAGGGTTTATAGGGCTTATAGTGTTTATAGTGTTTATAGGGCTTGTAGGGTTTATGAGGATGCCTTTCTTTTGTCTGTAAAGGGAGAGGGAGGGGGTTCCTTCTCAGGTTTTCTTATGCAGGGTTGAAGGATGCCGAAAGGCTTCAAGAGTTTTTTCGTCCGGGTTTGCAAACATACCCATAGGCCCCTAAGTAGCTCCCTTGTGGGATTACCCTATAGGATTCTAAATATGAACCACAAAAAGGAACTACTTAGGGGCCCGTGGGTACGTACCAAGATGCTACAGGGATCTGAATTTTGTGTAGCGCTGCTCCTCTCTCTTAGACCTCAAAATTGCAGCATGGAAGCTCGCTAAGCCCTAGTCTATAGCTATTCGGGCCGCATCGGGCCCGCACATGACGCCGGGGTCTCGGTGTGTTTTTTGTAGGGCCCGGTTTGGAGCTTTTTGCTCCAAACTCCTATAAACCCTAAACCCTAAACCTTGAGTGCGAAGCTCTTGCTCCCTCAAGTGGCTCTACACTCCCTAGTATGAAGCTAGCACACCGTACGTGTTTGGGGGTGTCTGACTAGACACCACAATGCCGATCCTACGGGGATCCTTTAAAGCAACTAGTATAGGGGCCTAAATAATTACCTATATTATTCTGGGGTTCCTGATTATAATTATAGTATATTGGGCCCCAAAACCCTATTCTAATCATTAAGGCCCCTACATTAGGCCAGGGAACTGTGTAAGGCAAGCCCGAACCCCCTAGAAACAGCATAAATCTTGGACCCTCTCCCTTCAGATCCATGCCCCTAAATCCTGATCCAACAACGCTTCGAAAGACCGAAAAGCGTGAATCCTCGTTGAGGTTTTCAGGGCTTAGGGTTTAGGGTTTAGGGTTTCCGAAGTCCAGGTCAATCCAAAGCCGCGATGCTGGTGGCGGACTACCGTCTTAGCTTCTACAGCCGCCTTAATCTGTGCTGCCGGGGCCCTTGGCGTTTGGTCGTGCCTGTGGCTCCAACTTTTGCAACTACTTACTGTTTTGGAGGGTTACGCATGTATGTGTATCAGCGTATATGTGTGTATGTACATGTATGTGCACTTTTTTTGACGTATGAAGTATGTGGATCATTAAGGATTCGTAACCTGGGGCTCTAAATCGCTCAAGCCAGGCACGATTTGTGGACTCTAGTCCCCAAGAGTACTTTAGACCCTCATAACCTACTCCTTCTTTGTAGGCTCTTATTATGAAAAGTAGGGTTTTGGTAGCTCAAGGTTCCGGTAGGTATGATTTGCATACGTGAAGCCCAGGGCCCTAGGCGTAGGGCCGTGAAGGGCCGCTTGAACAATTTACATAGAGTTTGGGGTTTAGGGTTTAGGAATTACCCATGTTCTCCTTCTGAGTCCTGACTACAACCATAAAATATGCCGCTAGTATGCGCCAAAATCCAATTAGAGTTGTCAAGGCCCCTAGACTAGACCCTATCATAGATCCCTTATAGACTCCTCTCAGGAAACCTTTAAAGTTTAGGGTCTGGGGTTTAGGGTTTCGTTTAAAGGAACCCTTCTAAAGTTATTTCCGCCGCTACATTACAGGTGTGGCTGGCGGCGACCTGGTCGACTTTTCCTTTTGCAATCCGGGACGGGGCCGCTGCCTCTGCGCCGCACTTAATATAAAAAAGCATAAAGGGTTCGTAATGTGCTATTCCTTACAGGGTTCCTCATGATCTTAGAACTACAACACTGTTCAGCATACCGCCAAACACTATTCCAATTGTTGAAGCCTTCTTAGTGGCCCCGGTGGACGCTTAAGCGAGATTGCTTGCCCATCCCCGAGGACCTCTCCAAACGACGTAGCGGGACCCTCCCGTCACCGTATCCCTGCAAGTATCATGCACATCGGTACATTGAGGTCAACCGACCCTGCACAAACCCTGTAAATCCGTTTCGGCCTGAATGTTGCGGGCTTCGGCGGTCTCTAGGCTCAGGGTTTAGGGTTTATAGGGCTTTAGGGTTTAGATTGAAGTCATGGCTACTTGCCCATGACAATTAAGGATCGGCTTAAGCCCACTCGGGCCGGATGCGCAGAAAGTCGTGTGCACGATGGATGTGGCGCAGATGGTGAGCCGAGTTATTCAGATGTCCAATGCCATCTATGCGTCTACTCGGAACTGCGATTATGAGAAGATTCGACGGCTCAAGGGCAGAGGGCCCACGTCTTTGGAGAAAGAGATCTGCACCAGCAGCATTTTAATTGCAATGTTCAATTCTCAGCTACTGACCGGCTTGTTCACATCGTCTGTGTCATCCTGCACCGGGAACCTCCACGTCCCAGCCAACTGCGGTACGAACATCGCGGCTTTCGTGGCAGCCGTACCCATCATCCTACAAGGTGCCCTGCTTGCGCTCGCTTAGAAGGTCTCAGGGATGTAAGCTAGCCGAAATATAAGATCCTTTTCGAAGTCGCATGTTTTTTACATGTAACTCCATTTGTTTGGGATACCCGCTATGTACCACTAGAAGAATCCTAAAACCAACGATCCCCAAGGTGCCATCGACATCGACATCAGCTGCGCCAAAGACTTCCACACTCCCTACGACTTTGAAGCCAAGTTGCTGGCAAAACGTGCTCGCCTTGAGAGGAAGCAGGGTTTCGGGATGTTTAGGGTTTAAGGGTTTAGGGTTAAGGCTTGATATAAGTGCATAGGGTTTAAGGGTTTCGGGTCAAGGGTTTATTTCAACTATCAGTGTTTAGGGCTTAAGGGTTTTAGGGTTTAATTGTTGGGGTTTGGGGTCAAGGGGTCGACTTGAGAGAAATCAGGGTGTGGGCTTGAAGGGCTTAGAGTTTAAGGCTTGGGGCTTCTAGAGGGGGCTTAATTAGGCTCTTGGGGCTTTGGTGTTGAGGGCTCGGGTTCAGGGTTTAGGGTTTAGGTCTAGGACATTTTCAGGTGGGTAGTTACCGCTGTAGGAGCCTTATAGAAGGTCTATATACCTTATCGAAGCCTCACCCTAAACTCCCCACCTGTAGACTCCTTTCATTTGGGTTTAGGCCTCGGCTTGAGAGGAAGAAACAGCGGGCCGTGTGGAGCGCACAGAGACTTGCCTCGATGATGTGGTAGGGTAGCTCTCTAAATTGGGGTCCCCAATTAGGGTTCTTTTTTTTTTATAAGGGTGCCGTACTATATTGGGGGCCCAAAAAGGGACCCTAATTTAGAGAACTACCCGGTAGCAAGTTTCTGGCTTAGCGGCTTAGCTTTTCTTTTTTGCAGGGTTTGATCTGATCAGCAGTATAACCCTTTCGGGTTACTGGTTTCTGGCTTAGTTGGGGTTTAGGGTTTTGGATTTAGGGTTCAGGGTTTCGGGAGGGTCTGATAAACAGTAACCCTTTAGACCCTAAGCCCTAGACCCTAAAACCCTAAACCCTAAACAGTACGTTCCAGGAGAGCGATCAAGAATGCTGGGGTGACTGTGGCAGAGCTGCCCGCTCCTCCAGCGGTGCCGTCCGGCACCGTCCACACCTTAGTGCATTTTTTTTCGACAGGCAGATCCTCGTGCTTTTTGTTTGCTCAAGGTCCCATGTGATAGCGGTTCTCTGTAGTTTTTGTATGCGGATTATGCGTTTTTGGAGTTTGTCCTAAGCCTCAACCCTACACCCTAAACTAGGCCCTGAATGCCTTTATTCCTCTTAAGTAACCCTGAGGGTCCAAGTACCTCATTATCATGTACTCCCCACAAATAGTAACTTACATAACTTACATAACTACTATCCGTCCCAAACCGCAATGCCTAATTTTGGGTCCTAAGTCCTAGTAGTAGAGTAGGTGACATACAACCTTTTTGGGCTACTAGAATCTCTAATTTTCCCAATATAGCTTTTAAAGGTTACGCATAGGCCCCTAAGTAGTTCCTTTTTATGGTTAATATTTAGAATCCTATAAGGCAATCCCAAAACGGAACTACTTAGCGGCCCATGGGTAACCTTCAGTTCCCCAGGACAATGGGCAAATAGGAAGTATAGGGTCTATAGGGTTTAGGATTTATGGTTTAGGGTTTAGGGTTTAGGGTTTATGGTTTAGGGTTTAGGGTTTAGGGTTTATGGTTTAGGGTTTAGGGTTTAGATCAGGTCTACGCTGCGGCTTCGCGCTGTATCTCTTTCACCAACCTTGGGACGACGCAGGTGGTCAGGCCATGGGCTCCCACATACAGAGGGTTCATTTCCTACATAGAGTTACATAGATATATACTCATAATTCTATGTACATGTAGTTAATTGTTTGTTTATCTAATTGTTACGTATTATTTGTTTGGATCTTTGTTTGCTTATAGAGTTCAGAAAAAAACCTACCCCCAAAAAAAGCAAACACACACACACACACTCACACTCAACTCTATTGGACGTGTCTGGGGCCTTTTACTTTATATACGCCACCATTATGGAGCTCGGCTCACCGAACCTTCACGAGGATCTCTCGGCCCTAAGCAGTTCGCTAAAACCCTGGAATACACATGTCCCCTTTTAGTCCACATACGCTTACACCACACTCTACTACGCACCACAGAGCCGAAGGCCCGCAGATTGAGCCCCGATGAAGCAAAGCTTCCATGGCTTAGGGTTTAGGGCTTAGGATTTCTATGTAGTCCAAAAACCTCTCCTCATCATTGAGGCACCTCTGTTGAACGCAAAACCCTAAAACACAATCTCTACCCTAAAGCCTTCCATGGAAACAATAAAACACAATCTATTCCCTAGACTCTTCCATTGAAACCCTCACCCTTAGCATCAAAATCGCCCAAAGGCCTTACATACTAGGGTCTTTCTTGCGCAAATTTTAGATGCCTTCAACTATGAGTCCGTTGAGGGTAAGGGTAAAGCCCCGGAATCAAACCCTAAAGCCCTAAACCCTAAACCCTAAAATCGAAGTTCACTGCAAGGCTGGCGCTCGTGCTAGCGGAGACCAGTACCGAATGCAGCCCTGAAGAGAGTGGCAGGACGCGTCTTTTGCGAAGACTGAGGGCTTAGGACTTACCTGGGAATACAAAAACCTACCGTTTTAGGGGTTCTGTTTCGGAATTTAGGGTTAGTTAGGGCTCAAGGCTATGATTCCCTTAAGCTCCATATATAGTTTTGCTGGACTATACCCAAAAACCCTCCCCTACGGGGTTTTTTTCTCGTCCGCAAAGATTTTACATGCAGTTTAGGGTGGAGGGATTGACGGTTCTTAGATGGTCCAACAACCCAAAGTAGTACGAGGGCCCCAGGTCCGAACCATGATAGGTACCGGACCCCTATACTGTTTGGGTAGTTGGACGTTGTTCGTTTGTGGAGGAGTTCTATGCCCTAAACCGTAAACCTAAACCCTATTCCCTAAACCCTAGGGGGGGTACTGTTGCACTGCGACTTAGAGCTGTCGGGCTTGGAAGTGGAGTAAATAGACGGAGGTTTGGGGTCTCTCGAGGGCCTTGGGGGGTGTAAGGGTTTAGGGTTTAGGGTTTAGAACTCTCGAGGGATTTTGGGGGGTGTAAGGGTTTAGGGTTTAGGGTGTATTGGGTTTAGGGTTTAAGTTTCTTGTGGAAATCTCTGGAGAGGCAGCCGAGAGTTTGCGCCATCGACGTCATGTCCATCTTGCTCGGCCTGTCTATCTCCATGCGGGCCTTCTCTCTTGCTGCCATCGCCTGCGTCCAGGCACCGTGGTCATCCCTGGTAGGGGTCCACTTATGAGCGGCCCTAAACCCTAAACCCCAAATCGTAACCCTAAACCCTAAACCCCCAAACCCCAAACCCCAAACCCTAAACCCTAAACCCTGCACCCCACACGCCCCGACCCTGGATCCTGGACCCTGGACTGTGTTGTTAGCCTCTCGAGCCTCAAGGCCGAAGCATGCCAGATATACTGTAGTTTAGGGTTTAGGGCTTATAGGGCTTATAGGGTTTAGGGTTTAGGGTTTTTGTGGTAAGATAGCGTTTTGGGGTCGGATTAGACATACTGTCCACTGACAGGCTCCCCCCCCTCAGCAAAAAGCAACTA